GCTCCTGCTGGGCCACAACAGTCCAGTATCATACAAACAGTCTGATACTCAAAGTTTGCTAGCAGTTGCAAAACTTACAATAGCTCACGGCACTTTCTAACAGCCAGCTTCCAAAACAGTTTCAGATCAGATCAGCCCAGCATCTAACAAAACAGAGAGCTAACAGTCATTCTGGCTCCCTCTTATGGCCGATTGAGGAAACAGCAACCAATCACATTTTACAGTATGATTTAAAGAAACAGGTACAACATTGTTACATGATTTATATATTGCCAACCCAACCGTTAGATTATATTCCTAACAACCCCTGTTATAGGCTCTCCCTTATAGAATTACAACCCTTTTCTGCTTCACCTGATGTATGCAGTGGATGAGAAAGGTGGGAGGAGCTTCGGTGCAGGTTTGGGGGACTGCAAAGAAAGATCCAACTTAGCAAGGCAAGAGCTAAAAAGAGTGAAATGCACCATCCTAATAGCTGGACTGTGAAATAGGAGTGCACACTTCACTGTTCTCCCATCATTTGCATTTGACGCAGCATGAAATTAAGAATTCTACACACCTGCTTTAACAACAGCCAGAGGTCGATGGGCATAGCTGGGCGATTAGCTTTTTTGTGATGTGGGAGAATTCTCTGCCCTCCCTCCTTCCCCGCTTCCCACATACTTACACACAAACACACACTGACATATCCCTGCCTCTGTATGTGCATGCCCAACCATACTTCGTTTTGTTTGATCAAGGTAGAAATTCCCACGGCAGCTTGGCAAGCATTACAGTGGGAGCAGAACTAATGCAGGGACTTTGAAACACAACGTAAAAGGGCTGTAGAATGAGAAACCCCAACCATGCAAAAATTGGGTTGGGTACTTTAAAAGTCTGGGGAAAGTAAAAGTAGGTTTTCCTTCCACGATTTATTTGATTTGGTCATTTTTACTCCCGTAAAGTGAGGATGTCAGTGTTCCAAGTAATGTGCCCATTGAAGGCACCTCTGAGGCAGGAAGATTACTCAAAGAACAATTTATTGGATACGTCATATCTGCACAACTGGGGAAAACTGACTCTAACTAAAAAGCGAAAGTTCCCCTTTTCCCCCTCCCCAGGCATCAATCATATTGTCCAATACAGTAGAGTTATTCTACTCCTCCTCTTCCCCTCCACCTGTTGAAATGTCCTTGGTTCCCACAGAAAAACCTTTTATTTTGACTACAAAACCCCAGCTATTCCCCCGCTCTTGTGGCAACCCGGAAGCCATAAAAATGGCCTCAGCTAGGTTCACTTCAGGGTTGACAGAGGGTGGATATTGCTCACTATGATCTGCAAAACAATTCTGTCACTCTCTCAGACTGATGAAGGGATGCTGCTTTTCTGTGTCAAGCTCAAACCCCAAAATGAGCCAATGAAATATATTTGACTCCAATTCTTTATTTGCTTGTATCTAATGGACAGAATCTTGCCAGATTAAAGCAATAGTCTTCTAGCCCACTGGATACATCCTGAGAGAGTCTAGTCTGAATATTCCCCCCACCCCTGACCCACCCAGTTTGGCACTGCACATTCTCTTGATCTGGGCTTCTTTCTGGGAAGGCTGTCGTCCTCTTTTAATGACCCCATAATCCCTTGCGGGGTGGAGTTTGGGCAACTGAATGGAGCTGAGTGTTTAGTGGCTGGATGCCCTTCCTGTCACCAATGCAAAGTTTTTTTCAGCAGATATATTCTCAGAGTGCCCAGAGAGACAAAAGTATCTGACAGGGCTCGGCAACCTTAAACACTCAAAGTGCCACAAAGGTCCTAACCGGAAGCCCCATGTTCAATTCTGGAGCCAACCGGAAGTCCGGTTCCCCCACCATAGAGTCTCCTCAGCACGGTATCCTTATTCCTCTACCTGTCCTAACTGAAAGCCCTATCAATTGTGGAGCCGACCGACGACAGGGAGCCACAATAGTGGGATGAAAGAGCCACATGCAGCTCCAGAGCCACAGGTTGCTGACCCCTGACCTAGGATCAAACTCACAGCCTCCTGAGTGTGAGGCGAGAGCTCCACCTCTAGGCCATTGCACTATTCTTCTTTCTTAGAAGACTGTGAGTTGGTCCAATCCTCCCCCTCTGTTGCTACAGGGGTGCATTCCATTACATTTTGCCTCATTTCAACCTGTAAATGACTCTTGATCCCTCTTCCTGTTTCTCCAGGTACGCCATCGGCATTGCTTACAAATCAGCCCCTAAGAACGAGTGGGTCGGCAAGAACTCCTCCTCTTGGGTTTTCTCCCGCTGCAACAACAGCTTTGTAGTGCGGCATAACAACAAGGAGATGCTCCTTGACGTTCAGCCCCAGATGAAGCGCTTGGGCGTCCTCCTGGACTATGACAACAACGTCTTCTCCTTCTACGATCCTGCCAACTCGCTCCACCTCCATACATTTGAGATTGCTTTCATCCTGCCTGTCTGCCCTACTTTTACCATTTGGAACAAATCATTAATGGTCATCACGGGTCTCCCTGCTCCAGACTTTATAGACTACCCGGAACAGCAGGAATGCAACTGCCGGCCTCAAGAGTCTCCCTATGTATCAGGAATGAAAACCTGCCATTGAGGACTCAAGAAGTCCCTGTCTTTCCAGCCAAGCCTCTGGAGCAAACTGTGCAACCAGATGGGGGCAATGACCTCATGTGTGTTTTGGAGGCAGTTGGCAGCCTGCAAGCCTCCCTCTTACTGAAAGTCCACCGCTCGTGGTGCATCCCTCGTGGCGCATCCGGTGCGGGTGGCATTTCATGGACCGGATTTTTAAAACTTTATTTTTTTTTTGATAGCACTACTGAATTGTCTCCAATGGAGTTGGCATGTCTTGTTTGTTCCTGACAAGAGGAAGGGTACCATGGCAGGGTATGGAGAGGGGTCGTGCCATCTCAGCTGCATGGGAATCCAAAGCGCAACATGGGTTTGGTTTTGTAAACAGACAGAGGAGTCTGAGGGGAGGGAGGGAGGGACCCACCGGGTCTCTAAGATGTCATTTGGGGAGAATTGGAACCCAACGAAATTGGAACCCAAGCCATTGCCTAGAAAATACAGGTCCGGGTGCTCTATTGACCGATAACAATCATACATGGGGGAGATGGGGGGGCAACATGAATTTAGTACTCTGCAAATGTTCCTCTTGCACATTAACAGACATATGACCAAGGGAGTTAGCCCATTTGTAATGGCCCTTTCCCAAAGCCCCATCCCCAGATTTTGTCATCAGCCATATTCCTTCCAAATCATATACCCTGTTTCCCCGAAAATAAGACCTCCCCGGATAATAAGCCCAATTGGGCTTTTGAGCACATGTGCTAAAATAAGCCCTCCCCTGAAAATATTGCAACACAGCAGCAGCCATGAAGTGACCATGCTCACCGCCACCTGCACCTCAAAAATAATAAGACCTCCCCAAAAATAAGGCCAAGCGCTTATTTCCAGGGTCAAAGGAAAATAAGACCCTGTCTTATTTTGGGGAAAACACGGTATTCTCAAGCACAGTGGCTGTAAACAAGGATTGGCCCATAGATTTCTGCATGTACTGTAGATCAGTTCCACTTGGCTGGTGTTTAACACTGAACATGTAGAGGCATGAGGAGAACATTTGGTGCTCCATAAGTGCAGCCCGCTTTCTTGCAAACCTGGTCTGAATGAAAGGCGATGAGATCCATGCAGACCTCTTCTATGCACCCAGTGTGAAGATATTGCAAAAGCTTGGCTGAAGCTTTATTTGTGCATTTTGACACAGAGTGGGAGCCTGCTGCTGCTAGCAGACTGATTGACCTTCCTACCCAGAAGCGCCTTCTGGGCAGGGAATTTTGTAAACAAGTGGAAAGTCCAAGAGCTGTAAGGAATGTATTTTATTCAGAAATGGGTGATGTGGTGCTGGCCTAAAAGCTAGAATAACTTCAGGATGTTGACTTTTGAAATGCAATAGAGTCTCTTCCTTAGGTCATAGATTTCATTAGAGGAAAAGAGGCCAGTACCCAACCCAAAACCAACCCAACCTAACAACCCAAAACCAACCCAACCCCAAACCTAATCCAAACCAACCCAAACTCAATCAAATTCCAACCCAACCCAACCCCAAACCTAACCCAAACCAACCCAAACTCAATTGAACCCAAACCCAACCCAACTCAACCCCAAACCTAACCCAAACCAACCCAAACTCAATTGAACCCAAACCCAACCCAACTCAACCCCAAACCTAACCCAAACCAACCCAAACTCAATTGAAACCCAACCCAACCCAACCAACCCCAACCCAATCCAACCCCAAACCTAACCCAAACCAACCCAAACTCAATTGAACCCCAAACCAACCCAACTCAACCCAAAACCTAACCCAAACCAACCCAAACTCAATCGAACCTCAACCCAACTCAACCAACCCAAACCCAACCCAACTCAACCCCAAACCTAACCCAAACCAACCCAAACTTAATCGAACCCCAATCCAATCCTACCCAAACCAACCAACCCAAACCCAACCCAATCCAACCTCAAACCTAACCCAAACCAACCCAAACTCAATCGAACCCCAACCAACCCAATGCAGGAAATGTAAGAGGAGGGATTTCAGTTTAGGACCTTTTGGGAAGCAACAATTTATTTGGTAAAGTTAGCATCCCAGACTGGTGGTATCCAAAAGGATTCTTCCATTCTATTTGCTGGTGTTCCATTTGTCCCACCATCTGGTTCAGATCATTTGATCTGAGGTTGGTTGCTCTTCCTTTCTTCTGGGGCAAGTCATCCTTGCTGCTTCCTCTTCTAGAGCTTTCCATCCTAGTGGAAGCAAGTCAGCTGATTCAGTTATGACCTGGGAGGGGCAGACTAAACTTCAGACTATTGGAAAGGTGATGAGGGGGGCATTGCAAGCGTCCAAAATGAATACAGGAGACTTCCCAGAGATGTGACACTTCTGTTTGGCCTTTATCTTAACCCCACCCCATTAAATCGTTAAATATTGCACTGCAGAACGTAGGCTGTTTTTAACTGCTGAATTTCTTGGCATGGCTTGGATACCTGAAATGATAGGCTTCCCATGGAATGCCTGCTCGTGATGTAGGAAAAGAGGGGAACGGGAGCCCCCCAACTGTCTACCCCAGACCCGGGGAAAGCTGTTTCAGATTGCAGCCCATTGCTGCGGCTTCCAGAAATGTCATACCAGACCATTCCGTGTCTGGTGACGAAGTGGCACTAACTGCCCTATGGAAGAAAGCTTGAAATGTCTCGGTTTTCTTCTTGGTTCAGTATGCTCAACATTTGGGCATTTTTCTTCCTTGGGGGAATGTGGTTTCTGTTGCTTTAGGGGAGGGGGTTCAAAGGAAAAACATGGGAGAGCATGATATTATTCAGGTTTTGTATTGTGTTTGCCCTCAGGTAATGTCCTACGATGCAGGGAGACGTTAATTGAGATGTTGGCAGATCAAATGTATTGCCTTTGGAAGTTTTGGGTGGGAAGCCATTGTTACAAAGAAGTAGCCATCACACCACAGTATTTGATGTTCTGTATCTATGGGTGGGTGCCCTACAGGGTTTACTCTACAGTAGGGGTGTCAAACTCAAGGCCCGCAGGCCAGATCTGGAAAATGTAAGGGGCCAGCCTATGTCTCTTTGACTCGCTCTACTTGTGTCACTTCAGCCCAGTCTACTCACGTCACTTTGGCCTGGTCTTCCCAATGCAAAGATAAGACATGCCAGCAGTTTGGGGAGTGGTGTCAAGCTGGCCACGCCTACCCAATTGGTCATGCCCCATGAGTGGCATCAAGCTGGCCATGCCCACCCAGTTGGCCACACTCACCCAGTCAGCAATTCCTGAAGTAGCCCCCAAAGTCAACCACAAGCTGTGGTGGGATTCAATTTTTTTTACTACTGGTTGTGTAGGCATGGCTTTATGGGCGTTGTGTGGCCTGGTGGGCATGGCTTTGTGGGTGTGGCAGGGAAAGGATACTGCAAAATCCCCATTCCCTCCCTATCCCACTCACCTGCTTTCCAGCTCTGTTCTCCTGTTCAGCGCAACAAAAGAAGATCAGCTGGGAGGCAGAGGGGGGGCATGGCCAGCCGACTTGCTGGTTCTCCAAACTACTCAAAATTTCCGCTACTGATTCTCCAGAACCTGTCAGAATTGGCTGAATACCATCTCTGACCACAGCCCTGATGCGGCCCTCAATGAAATTGAGTTTGACACCCCTGCTCTACAGCAATGGTCAAGACTTTTATGATTGCTGCTAAATTTGTCACCTCCTCAACCTGTAAGGTCAGCTACAAAGATTGATTTCCTTCAAGTTGCATGACTGAAATGGCTCATTGTTTTAGAGCGAGGGTTGTTTCTTTTTTTAAAAAAATAATAATTGGGTCAGTCCAAAGGAGTGGCCTGGAATAAATGAGAGGGCATCCTCACCATCAATGAGCTTGTGCCCAAATATCAAAGTCCAAGAGCACTGTGATGTGGTAGTGGTGTCCCTGTTGTATTTCCTGCTAAATTGTGTGCACATTATTGCACAGAATTCAACAGCCCATCTTAAACCTCCAAGAATCTCATTTTAAAAAGTAAGCAAACAGTAGATCACTAGCATTTCTTTATAGTTGCAGAGTGACTTAAAATTGTAGAAGCAAAGGCATCTTCAGAAGGCCCTGCAATTAAAAGTTGGAAAATATGAGCTCTTCATAATTTTCCTTCCTCTGACGCACAAGACTCCATGGTGTCCTGCACCCATGATAACCTCTTCTTATCCCCATGATCTCACCTTCTATCTCCAATCCGGATCTCTCATGGTTTCTGTTTCGTATGAACCTGCCGCACCTTCCTCATTGCCCTGCCACAGTGCTCAGGTTCAACCAGTAGAGAGGCAAGATGGGACATTATGCAAGAGGAAAAATATGGCCGCAATCTATTTTGATGATTTGCTCTCCTTTCAGAATGCAGTTTCTTGATGTTGAGTGGGAGAGGAGAAAGATACTCCTACAGCACAGAGAGACACTGAAGAAGTTTCATTGTTCTGTTTTCATTAGTTTGTCATAGATGCCTTCTTCTGTAGCATTTAAATCCTCTCTCTCCTCCCCTCCCCTCCCCTCCCTTTTCCCCTTCCCTTCCCTCCCCCTTTCCCTTCCCTTATCTGACCACCCCTTTTCCCTTAACCTTACCAGAGGTGGGTTGCTCCTGGTTTTACCAGGAGGTGGCGCAGTGGTTAGGGTGCAGTACTGCAGGCCACTTCAGCTGACTGTTATCTGCAGTTCAGCGGTTCTAATCTCACCGGCTCAAGGTTNCTACCTACCTACCTACCTACCTACCTACCTACCTACCTATCTGAATCTGATGCAGTGATTAGAGTGCAGTACTGCAGGTTACTTCTACTAACTGCCTGCTGCCTGCAATTTGGCAGTTCAAATCTCACCAGGCTCAAGGTTGACTCAGCTTTCCATCCTTCTGAGGTCAGTAAAATGAGGACCCAGCTAGTTGGAGGCAATAGGCTGACTCTGTAAACCACTTAGAGAGGACTGTAAAGCATTGTGAAGCGGTATATAAGTCTAAGTGCTATAGCTATTGCTGTAGCTGATTGGATGTTGCATTAGGAGCCATTGTGGTACAGTGGTTAGAAGGCAGTATTGCAAACTAATTCTGCCCACAGTCAGGAGTTTGATCCTGATGGTGGTTAGGGTTGACTCAGCCTTCCATCTTTCTGAGGTTGGTAAAATGAGGATCCAGGTTGTTAGGGGATAATATGCTGACTCTGTAAACCGCTTAGAGAGGGCTGTAAAGCACTGTAATATGCTATATAAGTTTAACCTGTACTGCTATCAGTAGAATGCATTTATACATGCAAATGGAATCCCCATTAGCCATTGCTATGTATCAACCAGCTGTATCTATCATCTTAGCATCTATCCATCATCTATCCATCATCTCTCCCCCTCCCTCCCCCCCCTCTCTTTCTCTACCATCACAACAATCTAATGTCAATATTTTATTTTCTAATGAAGGCTCGGCTCCTTAGATTGATGTCAATCTCAACATTTTTTTAACCAATTTTTCTAAATGCAAAGAAAAAACCTAGTCAACTATCATAATGTTGCCTTCTTCTTTGTTTTATTTTTTTTTAAAAAATTAACACACAGTGTAATGTTATGATGTTTGAATATGCTGTGGATCAAAGTTTAATTGAAACCGATATTCTTCTCCCAACATTACGGAACTGGATGCTTTCAAGCAAGACTGCCACCATCCCCCTGTTATGTTTCTTTAGCAGCAGAGAGCCAAACATCCACAGCTGCTGAAAATTGAAAATCTATTTAGCTATAATGTTTGGAGTTGA